GACTTTAAGCTGTTTTTGGTCTAGTTTTTAAAGAGAGGGCATATGCAGATGAAACTTAACAAATGGAAAGACATTATATAACCAAGTATCAAGTAATGCACAGCATCACTTATGTGGTACAAATAATTCCATAGTGTATCTTTTCAGAAATTACCTTGGATCATTGTCTACAACAGTGGTATTCAACTAGGGGTAATACTTACTCTGCTACAGGAGTTTGGCAGTGTCTAGAGACATTTTTGCCTTCACAGTTGAGTTACTAGCATTGCCAGAGATACTGCTAAATATTTTCCAATGCACATGGTAGCTCTTCACATCAAAATATCAATAGAGCTGGCAATGTGGCACGCACCTATAATTCCAGTGCTCAGGAGATGGAAGCAGAAAATCATAAGTTTGAGTTCAGTCTGTCCCCCTTCCCCCAAAAAAGAAGTCAAGGTCAGTAGAATCTACAAATGTCAGTGCTGATAGTTTTTGAAGTTGTGAGAGTTGTACTTTCCTCTTTCCCAAAACCTTTTCAGCCAGTGTTATTTGAGTGTTCTTTGACTATAGCCCTTGAATCTTAACACAGAGATGGTCACTGGATGCCTGGAAGTTGTTTTGAATATCATATGCAACTTTTTCTGGTAGAAATATGTCAAGCCAGTGCTCTAGTCACCTAAAATAAATAGCACAAAACCTTCTCGTAGCTCTGGGCTGAGCTAGAACTTAAATCGCAAAGATCAGTATTAACCAAAATAGTTTTGTGTTGAAAAAAAATGTCTCCATATAATTTAATTTAGTATTTTGAATTAGTAAACTGTTTCTAAGTGCATAAGAAAATTATGATTGAATGTTGTAAATGTTATTTCAGTACCATATCTAATAATACTATGCATTTGAAATATATGCATTTTATATATATAAATTATTTTATTTTGTTATTTGCAATCAATTTTTATCAGAATTTATGCTTTTTCCAAGATGAAAATCTCAATTTACATTTCCTAGGTGCTGTTTTTTTAAATATTTCTTATTGTAAAGGTACTGTACAAAAGCGTTGCAGTTACATGAGTAAAGTAATAAGTATACTTCCTATTGAGCATTGTTATGCCCTCCTTTGTTTTTCCCCTACTATCCCTTCCCTCCCAACCTCCCCAACTTCTCCATCCTCCCCACCCCTCCAGAGCTGTAAAGTTCATTTTCAACATAGTGTCTTGTACATCTCATTGTTACAGTAGTTCAACCTGTATCCTTATTTCAACGTTTTGTTAATTCCCTTCCCCTCCCCAAATTAGAAAAATGTATATGCAAGATTCAGGGAAACAGAATCAAATACAGTGAAAACGGGTTATACCATGGGGGGAAAAACATACAAAAGAAACACAAAAAATCATACAGTGCATTATAAGTACATTAAAAACAGCAGCAACAAAGATAAAACCTCTTGTGTCTCTATCTTGGGGTTCATTTCACTTAGCATCATCTTATATGGTTATATGTACATAGCTGTTGACCTTTTCTGCCTGTCCTAGACATATACTAGTAATTGCAAATAAGGGAAACCATGAGACATATGTTTCTTTGGGCCTGGCTTACTTCACTTAACATAATTTTTTCCAAGTCTTTCCCTTTCCTAACAAATGGGGCAGTGTCATTCTTTCTGATGGAGGTATAGAATTCCAGTGTGTGTGTGTGTGTGTGTGTGTGTGTGTGTGTGTGTGTGTGTGTGTGTGTGTGTGTGTGTGTGTATACCATATTTTCTTGATCTATTCATCTATTGAGGGGCATCTAGGTTGGTTCCATATCATATGGTGAGTAATGCTGCGATAGACATGGTTATGCTGGTAGCTTTAGTATGGCCTTCTTTGTGATCATTTGGGTAAATGCCCAAAAGTGGGATTGCTGGGTCATAGGGGAGCTCTGTGTGAAGTCTTTTGAGGAACCTCCATACTGTTCTCCAAAGTGGTTGAACAAGTTTACATTCCCACCAATAATACAGGAGGGTTCTCTTTTGGCCACATCCTCTCCAGCATCTTTTGTTATTAGAGTTCTTGATTATAGCCATTCTAACTGGCGTGAGGTGGAATCTCAATGTTGTCTTGATTTGCATTTCTTTTTCTTTTATTTGGGGGGGAGGGAGGGGGAGCCCAGTCGTGGGTCCTGAACTCTGGGCCTGGGCACTGTCCCTCAGCTCTTCAGCTCAAGGCTAGCACTCTACCACTTGAGCCACAGTGCCACTTCTGGCTTTTTTCTTTTTCTGCTTATGTGGTGCTGAGGAATCGAACCCAGGGCCTCATGCATGCAAGGCAAGCGTTCTACCACTGAGCCACCTTCCCAGCCCCGATTTGCATTTCTTTTATGGCTAGAGAAGTTGAGCATTTCTTTATGTGTGTATTGGCCATTCTTATTTCCTCTTCAGAGAAGTCTGTCTTTAAGTCTTTAGCCCACTTATTAATCGGGCAGTTGTTTTTTTGAAGATTTGTTGTTGGGGAATTTAATTTTTTGAGCTCTAAGTATATGTTAGATATGAAACCCTATGAGACCCATGTCTGTTGTATATCTAGAAAAGAACTTCTCCCAGTCAATGGGCTTTCTATTGATCTTGCTAGCTACATCCTTTGCCATGCAGAAGCTCTGCATTTTCATGCAATCCCATTTGTCCAGCCTTTCTTTGATTGGTTGTGTTCTGGGTCTATGTTTCTCCTCTGTGCTAAGGAGCCCTATAGTTCCTGTAATGTTTTCAGGGTGTCTGCTTTGACTTCGAGGTCTTTGATCCATTGGGAGTTGATTCTGGTGCAGGGTGATATCTAAGGATCTAGCTTTAGTTTTCTTTTTTTGGGGGGGGGGGGAGGGTCTGGTTGTGGGGCCTGAACTCTGGGGCTGGGCGCTGTCCCTCAGCTCTTCAGCTCAAAGCTAGCGCTCTATCACTTGAGCCACAGCGCCACTTCCGGCTTTTTTCTTTTTGCTTATGTGGTGCTGAGGAATTGAACCCAGGGCCTCAGGCATGCAAGGCAAGTGCTCTACCACTGAGCTACCTTCCCAGCCCTAGCTTTAGTTTTCTACAGGTATTAACCAATTTTGCCAGCATCCTAGGTGCTGTTTGTTTATAGAATCATTCAGAGATCTGGACATGACTTTATATTGTAAACATTTCTTCTGATTAGTATTTTGTAAAGTGAATTATGTTGTTCCTCATTAGAAATATTTTTAATTAAAAGCTGTGTTTCTCACTTACATCCAGTAAATCAGAGATCCTACCAGCAGTATGTAATAGAAACAAATCTACATAACCTTGATTGTGTATATAATTTAATACTTTCCTAAGCCCCAGAAATCTGAGATTAAGTATTGGCTTAAAGCCAGGGAAGGGACCTTAGACCTTAGAGGTCATCTATTCCAGCTGTTTCAAACTTCTCTTTGGGACCCATGGGGTCCCAAAGCACTCCTGTTAGTTGTTTCATATGCATGGAGTTCTACCCGATATTTTAAGGCAGAAGTAAAGCACATGGCGGGTGGGGGAGGGGAGGGGTGCAGGTAACATACTTCTGATCTATACCAGGTTCAATTTTTATATATTAAGGAAACTTAGTCCCGTACTAGAGAACGTAAAAGGGGGAGTCCTAAGGCTGACCAGTACTTGTGCCAAAGTAAAGGGAAATGTAAATACTATGCTATTCCCTTCGATGATGACTATGTGGACATATTTTGGTAGAATTTTTGGAGAACATGATGAGGACTTCTAATATGTAGATGATAAAAAGTATTTTAAAAAATAACAAATGGAATCATTTGAAATGTCTTCTTAAGAGCATGTTAATAGAGGTCACCTCACATTCTAAATATTATGAAAGTGAAAACAATCCCAAGGATTTTATAATTCTCATTTTAATGATTAGTACACAGAGTCTGAGAACAGTTAATAACTTGCCTAAGAACACACAACTTGGAAGGCACACAGCTGGAATTTGAACTCCTGATTATCCTCTATACTATTGCTAGATATAACCACAATGTTAATTGGCCTACAAAATGCAGAAATAGGTAAGTCACCTAGGAACACGAATCAGTAACAGCAGATCTCTAGATATAAAGAGCTTATAAGAGTCTTGAAAGAACTAAGCTAGACAGAGTAGAATGTAAAGCTGCTTGTCCTCTTGATCTTTACCTTGTGTTCTTACAAAGCAATGAGAATTCTTTCTTATGGGTATTTCAGTGGGGATTGTCATGTCAATTAATTGTTGTTCACCACTTATAGTTTCTTGAGAACTCAGGCTTTCACTTGGGTAGCAGAAGCAACAGCAGTAATTTTAATTAGCACTCATATCCTGACTGCTAATTGCTCCAGAATTTTTCTTAGACACTCAAAATAATTAAGTTTAGAAAAATTACATTTGAACCTGAAAAAAGAATTTTCTGTTAAGATACCATTTCACTATGAGGATCAAGCTGGCCTTGAATTCATGATCCTGCCTCACTAAGTGCTGGTGGTTTACACATGTGTCATCACCCCTGGTTAACAAAGAGGTTTTCTTTAGTGGCTTCATCCTGTATCTAGTTGCTGGATTCATTTGTTGATTGCTTTAAATTTCATCTGTTGAAGTTTATTAGTGGTTGTTAGTAGGAAATAGGTTTTATAGGAATTCACTGTCCTTGTGTGATCTTGGGGTACTACAATCATTCATATTAACTTATTATCTTGTAAGGATTACATTTGGCCAGGCACTGGTGGTTCAACACTTATAATCCTAGCTCTTTAGGTGGCTAAGATCTGAGGATCAAGGTTCAAAACCAGCCTATACAGGAAAATCCATGAGACTCTTACCTCCAACTAACCACTAAAAAGCCCAACTATAGCTGTGGCTCAGGTGGTAGAGTTCTAGCCTTGAGCAAAAACACTCAGGAACAGCATCCTGGCCCTAAGTTCAAGCCCCATGACTAGCACAAAAAAAAAGAAATTATAAACTTTTGCTAGAAGATATAGCATTTTCAGCTAAACTGGTTGTGTTTTTTTTCTATAGGTCTCAAAGAAAGTGCAGAAGAGATGGTCAAAAACAAATTGGAAGGAAAGGATAAACTGACACCTTGGGAGCAATTTTTAGAGAAGAAGAAAGAGAAAAAAAAACTGAAAAAGAAACAGAAGGTACAAATGATAGTTATGACCAGATATTTATTGCATACCAAATATGTACGAGGTTCTCTTTATCTATTATCTCAGAATATAGCCACTAATAGAATAGACCTTATTGTCATCCCATAAGAAAAAAGTAAGTTAAATTTTTTCTTCAGGACCATAGAGTGGTATGTAATCTTAGTAAGAGCTGAGAGCCACTTTCCCCATGTGTTATAATGTTGTATGTGCCACCTGAATGAAGGACACTGGTAGTCAGTGTATAGCTGTAAATAGAATGATTCCATTCTGTGTTGTTTTGTTTTGTCAGTCATGGGGCTTGAACTCTGGGCCTGAGTGCTGTCCCTCAGTTCTTCAGCTCAAGGCAAGCGCTCTACCACTTGAGCCACAATGCCACTTCTGGTTTTTCTAGTGGTTTATTGGAGATAAGAATTTCACAGACTTTCCTGCCCACGCTGGCTTTAAATCATGATCCTCATCTCAGCCTTCTGAGTAGCTAGGATTACAGGCGTGAGCCACTAGAGCCTGGCTCCATTCTGTGTGTTTTTGAAAAAAGAGAATTGCATAAAAACTTTTGTACTTAATATATTTGTAAAAAAAAAAAAGCTTTTGTTTTCGTCTTTAAGATAAGGTTTCAAGGGATTGTAGGCATGGCTGAGTTGGTAGAGTGCTAGCCAGTGATGGAAAGCATCAAGTACTGAGTTCAAGTACAAGTCTTGTACCACCCCCCCATCCCCCACCCCCGTCAAAAAAAAAAAAGGAGACAAGAAATAACGCTTCACTTTCAAGCCCAAACAAGTCTCAAACTCATAATCTTCCTACTTCAGACTTTGAACCCTGGGATTACAGGTATACAGCATCTTCATCTGCCTGTGTAGAAGTTTTTGACTTGAGATTATACTATATACCTGTGTTTTTCACTGTTCACTATTGTATGGCTGTTAGTTGCTGTTGTCATCAATCTATTGATGAAGAATGCTTTCTCTGCACTAATATCGAGTTCCTATGGATAGTATGAGTTGACTGCCATCATTCAAATAATAATACCTTTTCCAGAGTTGTAACAGCAGAGGCAGTGTAGAGTTTTGTCACTAAAAACCTTATCTTGTCACTGACATGTCATTGCTTTATGAATGTTACCATTCATAAACAGTTTTACAACTTGGGAATCTTAAATGATTCTGTCTAGTGCCACACTGTTATTTTATAGTTGTAGGAAATCAAATGATTTGTCTGGGGTTATTTCATTGCTTATAAATGCCTAAGATGAAACCAGAGTCCATGGTCACTCAGCCTAGTGTGTGTTCTACTGTACTGTATTGTTTCTGTCTATACTATGTGAATTTACAGCACTTTCACTGCAACTGTTGCCTTTAGTGCTGTAAAAGGCCACAACGTTGGATACATCAAAGTATGATGCAATGGAGTCTTTTTTGTTTTATAGGTGTTTTTCTTTAATTGTTCTTTGTGTTCTGCTATACCAGAGCTTGAACTCAGTACCTTGTGCCAGCTGAGCAAGTGCTGTATCATTTGATCCACATCCCCAATTGTCTTTGGTTTGGTTACTTTTCAGCTATGATCTGTCACTTTGTACCTGGGCTGGCCTCAGTAGTCCTCCTGTTTGTACCACCTGCACAGCTAGGATTATAGGTATACACCTGGTTGGTTGTTGAGAAGGGATCTTACTTTGTGCTCAAGCTAACCTTGAACCATGCCCTCCTTGTCTCTGCCTTCCAGATAGCTGGGATTACTGGTATGTCCTACCATTCCTAGGTCCTGTTTTGTTTTATGATTTTAATATTTGAGACAGGGTCTCACTGTTACTCCCAAAAGATGTGCATGAAGAAAATGACACACACATACACACATTAAAGTCCTTATAAAAATAAAACTGTTTTTATATTCAACTTTAAGGCTCTTGCTGAAGAAGCCAGTGATGATGAACTTCCTTCGGATGTTGATTTGAATGACCCATACTTTGCTGAAGAAGTTAAAAAAATAGGTAAGTAAGGTTGCATTTGAATTTTCAATTGGAATCTAAAGGAAAAGATGACATGGGTAGAAAAAACAAAAACAGAAAAACAAAACAAAAAGTAGTTACTCTTTAAAAATTACTAAACTTGAAGCTAGGCATATTGCTTATTGGTAGAGTGCTTGTCTAGCATGCATGAAACCCAGGGTTTCATTCTTCAGTACCACATAAATGGGAAAGCCGGATGTGGTAGCTATGGCTCAAGTGATAGAGTGCTATCCTCAAGCAAAAGAAGCTCAGGGACAGTGCCTAGGCCCTGAGTTCAAGCCCCAGAACTGGCGAAAAAGAAATTACTAAACTTTGCTAGCTACTCAGGTGGCTGAGATCTAAGGATTGTGGGTGGCAATCTCCAGTTAACCACCAAGTTGCCGGAAGTAGAGGTGTGGCTCAAGTGGTAGAGTACCAGCCTTAAAGAAAAAAAGACAAGTTAGAGCGTGAGGCCCTGAGTTCAAGCCCTAGTATGCACACACACACTCACTCACTCACTCACAAATTTACTAAAATTTGGGTAACTCCATTAGTGGTTTATGAGCATGTCTGGCCCATCCATTGATCATATTTGGGAAGGACCAGCATGCCTCTGTATATAACAAAGAATAAATTTATCATAGACTTTTGGTAACATGGTCAATTTAACAGTTTACTGGGAAGCTATTCAGATGATGTCCAGAAAAGGATGAGAGGAAATGGAGAGACTGGTTACCTTTTGTCCTATGCTTTGATATTTCTCTGTAATACTCAGATTTCTCCCTCTCTTTCTCTTTCTCTCCCCCCCCCCCCTTTCTGTCTCTTTCTTTCTCTCTGAAGAGATTATGGAGAAGTCAAAATGAGGTGAATTTGTGTCACATGCATATTTTTGAATTTATAGATGAAATTCTGCTCAAATATTCAAAAGCACCTATGTTCATCTTGTCCTTTTTTTACATTTATCCTGCTTAGTTTTAACTAACAGCTAGTTTTTCTCTTACTCTCCCTTTTCTGAGTCCCTAAACTATTTGGTTTCTCATTTCCTGGATTCAGGAAACAGCCTTGTTTCCATTGTGTATGTACCACTTATTCTTTCTGGAATGCTTTTATTCTTACCTTTTTGGTCTATGTAAATGTGTTTGGGAAGGTTTTGGCCATAGTTGGAAAAAATCAGTACAGAGACCACTGTAAGCATTTTTCCTTTCCCCTGATATTTATACCATACCCATGAACCCCAAAGACTTGCTCTTGGAGTGACTCCAAGCTAGCATTGTAAAGAGAGGGATTTTATGAAGTTTCCCGGCTTCTTGTCCCTCCAGACTAGTGGGCCAGAATAGTTCTCAACAGGAAAGTCAAAATTGCTTAAAATTATTTCCTGGTTGTTACAGCCATTTAGCACTGACATTTTATTGATGAAATGAATAAAGTCTATTATAGGATGTGAGATTCTTGGGAATTGGAAAGAGAAATGGAAACTTAGCATATTCTGCTTTTTATCATACCTGTGTAGTCATTTCTAGAAGATGATGGATTTTAGCCTTATCCTCTGGCTAAACCAAAGTTCATAATGGAGAAATTATAGTTTCCTTGTTCTCTGTCCAATGTGCCTCATTTGGCATGTGAATGGTCAGATTACAGAACTCAGAATAGGATTCAAAGAGCAAGTTAAATGGTTCCATGGCATAGAGCAGCCAGTTTCTTGGAATCAGCATATTTAAATTGTGTATTAGCATTCTCTAAAGTTAGTATCCCAAGTTCCAAGTGAGGGGTATAAGTACAATTTGCTTGCTTTTGGTACACTTTTGATTCTAGACTATTTCTGAGGAAGAATTTTTTCTATCTGATCTTAAGTAATAAGAGTTTTGTTCATTTATTTTAAAGAACAGAAAGGCACTTTTCCCCCCCAATATTGGGGATGGAACTCAAGATATTGAGCTTGCTAGACAGGCATTCTAACACTTGAGCCATTCCCCCAGCACTCTTTTACTTTAGATTTTTTTGTGTGTGTGATTGTTTTTTAAACATAAGGTGTCACATTTTTGCCCTTGCCAGACTCAGACTACAATTCTTCTGTCTATGGCCTCCTGTGTGCTAGAATGACAAGTGTACTCCTGAGTTTCACTGAAATGGAGTCTTGCTAACTTTCTGCATGAGTTAACTTCAAACTGATCCTTCTGATTGTTACCTTCCAAATGGCTAGGATTATAGGCATAAACCATTGCTCCTAGTCTCTGTACTGAGAATTTTATACATAAAATTTACTACTAAAAACATAGTGTCTTGCCATGTTTGTTTATCAGTAAGGGTTTTGATTGTCTTATCACTTGCTAGGTACTCTGATCAATTGGAGAGATGAGGTAATAATGCAAACAAAATTGCATCCCTCTAGAAGTGTGGTTTTAAGAAAGATGTGTTCACAGATAAAGAAGATTGCAAAAGTATGGTAAATGTTTTTTTAAAAAAAGAATAGGTAAGATAGAGGATAACTAGGAGGACAAAGGGAAGGGGAAGATTATGATTTGGTAAGCAAAGAACGCTTCCTTAAGGTGATGGAAGATATTGGAACTGAAACCCCTTCCCCCCCCCCCAAAAAAAAGCAGTACATAAAAGAGAGATGTAGTTGAATTATGAGTTATGTCAGGTACTAGTAGGCAGATACAAAAATATCCCCCAGAAACTTGGTGAGCTACAGAGATCATTGAGTAAGGTAATCTTACATGTAGTTTCAATAATTTAGTGTGAGTTTAAATGAGAAATAAGGAAATCAATAGTGGAGCTAGAACTCAGGTTCTGGGCACTGTCTCTTAGCTTTTTCACTTCAGGCTGATGCTTTTCCACTTGAGCCACAGCGTCATTTCTAGCTTTTTAGTGGTTAATTGGAGATAAGGGCCTAACAGACTTCCCTAACCCAACTAGCTTTTTAGTGGTTAATTGGAGATAAGGGCCTAACAGACTTCCCTAACCCAACTGGATTCAAACCATAATCCTCAGACTTCAGCCCCCCGAGTAGCTAAGATTACAGATGTGAGCCACTGGCACCCTGATTTATTTGTTTGTTTTAATTTACTTTTTTGTGGGTCGTTTTTTGGTGGTACTGAAATTTGGGGCCCTCATATTTGCTAGGCAAATGTTCTGCCAACTGAAACATAGCCCATTTTGCTTTAATTATATTTTAGATAAGGTCTCACATTTTTTGGCTTGGGCTAGACTGGACTTCAGTGCTCCTTACCTATGCCTCCCATAAAGGTGAGATTAAAGGGCTGGGAAGGTGGCTCAGTGGTAGAGCGCTTGCCTTGCACGCATGAGGCGCTGGGTTCGATTCCCCAGCACCAGATAAGCAAAAAGAAAAAAAGCCGGAAGTGGCGCTGTGGCTCAAGTGGTAGAGTGCTAGCCTTGAGCTGAAGAGCTGAGGGACAGTGCCCGGGCCCAGAGCTCAGGCCCCACGACCAGACCTAAATAAAAAAAAGCTGGGATTACAGATATATACCATTGCGCCAGCTATTTTCTGTTGTGATATAAAGCATAAACATTGATTTAATATTTTATACTCATGTTCCAACAGGACAATTAAGATCTAAGCATGCTATAGCTCTAGGGAACATTTATTTAGAAGTATATGGTGGTAGGTCGGGTGGGGGGGGGGTGGTAAGGCTTTATTAGTTGGATTTTAGTTCAAGTTGTGAGGGTTTTTCTTTAACCAGATAGCTCCAGTGATGTAAGTTGTATCAGCACAGTATTGCCTTCATTATTTGTCAAAATAAATAATTGTAGAACATTACAATATTGTCATTATGTAGGATTGTGACTGGCTTCCAAAAATATTTAAGATAACAAATTTGACTTTTTAGCATTTGGAAAAATGTGTAGTTCAAGTTCTGCCATTAAACAAGACAAAGACATTGTAAAATAGGTGGACTATGTACATTTATAACATATGCACCCTAGTAGTGGGCTTGCATTGTGCAAATACAAAGCTAAAAGTAAGCCCAGCCAAAAAGTAGCATAGTAGAAGATTTATTACCTGTAGCAAGTAGACAGAACATGAGAGTTATTTCTAAATCAGTGCCTTTCTTTAACAAAGAAACAGGGATTTTATTTGGAGAGATAATATAAAGCCCTTTAGAACTGGGCCATTCCTGAGCATGTTCAGTTTGAGGTCATAGTTCAAGGACAGATGACAGACATATTTGTGTACATTCTTAGTACAGTCATGGAGCATATGTTCAAAAAGTTAAAAGCCAGAATAGAACACTTTTGAGCTTGTTCAGCTAGCATCATAAAGATGGCAGACAGGAACACTTCTGGGCATGCTGTTAACTATAAAACATCTGACATGAAGTCTTGGTTGGTATTTGACCTTTGAGCTATTAAAATCCATCTATGTATACTTTTTAATAGCATTTCCAGAAGGATGTAAGATTTTTGTGTATGTGTGCCAATAGTGAGGTTTGAACTCTGGGCCTGGGCACTGTCCCCGAGTTTTTTTGGTCAAGACTAATATTTAATTACTAAAGCCACATCTCCACGTCCAGATTGTTCATTGGAGATAAGAATCTTGGATTTTTTGCCCAAGCTGCCTTTGAATTCAGCCTCCTGAATAGTAGGATTTACAGATACAAATACTTTTGTATTTTTGTGGCTCAGACTGATCTGAAACTCAAGATCCTCTTGTCTCAGCCTGCTAAATTCTGGGATTACAGGCATATGCTACCATGTCCAGTTTAGGGGATACTGTTTCTTACTGTTCTTACTTATACTTTAATATTTTAGAACAGGAACTCCATTTCCCTGGTACTGTACATGTAATTTAAGTCTGAAAACTTTCCAGAGGGATGATACACTTTTTTAAAAAGTAGATGTACCCCTTTAATATTATCTTGTTAACAGTTCAGAAAGGATCTCTATACATTATTAATCTTTTGACTAAATAGTTCAGCATAGCAGATAATAAATTTTTGTGAGAAAAGAAATTTTCATCATGCTAAAATTGGGTGTCCCTTTTAGTCTTGACAATTTCTTTTTTCTCCCTGCTGCAGTCAGCCTTTCATGTTATTTTTATGACTTTTCACCAGGTTGTTATAAAATCTGGAGCAGTTCATTGTGGGCTCTTTGAAATTATGTTCCACAGCTGTATGTGAGAATCTTTATCTCCTTTGTGCATTAATCATATGCAGCCTGGTGTTTCCCTTGCTACACAGTGATCCTTTGCATATGGCCTTTGTCCACTTCCTGCAGGGTCTGCTTGAGAGCACAGTAGCGGAGGGGATAGAGTTGAGTCATAGCTCTAAAACTTGGAACCTTGTTACCTACCTATAAAAACACATAACCTCGACAGAAACTTACAGTTTCAAGAAAGACGCATCATTCCCTAAAAACATTTTAGATAAGACTAAAGATTTTCACTTTGCAGAGAAGGGATGCCTTCCATAAATATTCTTTAAATGCCATGGTAGCACTGAGCACTCAGTGTTCAATCCACCGTGCATATTCTCTCACCAGTCTGCATGATCACAACAGGAACATGTGAAGCAGTCTCAAAAGCTTCTATTGACTTTGGTTCCTGCTTTCCTTATTATACGCCCTTACCTGCAGTGTTTGAACCATGATTGCATGTTTTTGCGTCTTTAATTTTGTTACTTTACAATCAAGTGTGTTCTAAGCTGAAAAGGCCATTACCGGGAGAATGACATTTGATTATGGTGGAAGGGGTGTGTGTTTTTAGGAGTGTCATTAGCGAGCCTGAGCCATAATGGTTGGGTGTGAACCATGATTCCCTCACTAAAGTGGGACACATGTACCAATCTGTGCTTTAATTTCTTCATCTGCAAAAATTAGAGTTACAGTAAATAATAAATCCATCACATAGCATTAAAGATGAATTGATATAATTAATTACAATTAACTTACATAATAGCACTGCTATATGGCACATAAGGGAAGTTACCTTATTACTGTGCATTAACTGCTCTCCTTATTTGCTAATCCATTAACCCATCATGATCCTAAAAGGTAGCTGTCATCATTTAAATCCCCATTTTACAGATAAGGGCACCAGCTCAAACTGCTACAACTAAAATATAGTAGGCTCAGCATTTAAACCAAGCCAACTGCTCCAGAGTTAAGTGCCCTTAGCTGCTGCATACTGTCTCTTGTTAGGAGCAAGGGCATCTCATCTCATCTCATCTAACAGCCTGCGTGCTTCACAAGTCCCTACATGTTCAGAAGTCCCTGCATCATTTATAGTTCCAGTAACACTCACTTGCAGCAAATTGTCCATATCTGTTTTACTTCTGGATAGGTAATCCTTAGTTGAGGTAATCTATTTAATAATGCTAAATGGATTTCTAGAAATACATTTTTATTCTGTGAGCAAAAGAAATCTCAAGAGGCAGTTGGAATTTAAGTTTGGATTTAGAAGGAGTTATAGCTAGAAATAAAAAAAAACAAGCAGCATAGAAATGACTCAAGCCTTAAGCTGGATGAACAAACCTTAGATAGAACAATATCCAAGGACTGAGCCCTAAGAATGTACAACCTTTACAAGTCAAGAAGGGAGGAAAGAACCAGCAAAGCAACAACAGGGCCTGGTAAGGGAGGAGGAAGAGGGAGGTGGCCCACTAACCTGGTGGGGAAAAATGTGTCAAGACACATTTTGTTTGGTTATTTGGGTATTTGGGGTAGTTGTTGATGGTGGGTTTTGTTTGGTTGGCTTTTGGTGGTACTGGGGTTTGAGATTTGAATGCAGTGACCTTGCTGGGCAGGTGCTCTTACCACTTCAGCCACTTCCCTAGGCTTTTGGCTTTAGTTATTTTTCAAAACAGTTCAACTTTTTCTTTAGGCCCAGTTTTAGACTGTGATCCTACTTATCCTTCTTGGGTAGCTGAGATTACAGGCATGTACCACTGCACCTGGCTGGTTAGTTGTTTTTTAATTGGGAGATTCATGATTTCTATGTGCTGATGTAAGTATAGTAGAGAAGGAAAATAAATGATGCAAGGGAAAAAGGGAATAATTACTAGAATGGTATATGAGAGGTAATAAGAGAGGTAAGGCCCATAATTCAAGTGATAGAACTGGTTTACATCATGCATGCAAGTAATAATCAGAGTAACAACCCATATTTAAATACTGCTTATTGTGTAGCAAGCACTGTTCTAAGCACTCACCTTTTTTAGTTCATTTAATACAGAAACCTTAGAGTGCACTCTGTCACTGAGAAGTTAAATTAATTAGACCTCTAGTTAAGGCCCAGCTTTATACTGGGTTTATACTGGGTTTCAAATCCATTTTCCTGTACAACAGAGAATACTTATTGTGGGAGTCTTTTAAAGCTCACTTTTGATTGCATTTGTTTTCTTAAATAAGAAGTGATGTAGTCAGCTGAGATCAGAGTGCAGGTGGCATGAATTTTAGGCACTAACTTCCCTGTCACTCTGACCACTTTTCCTTTTCCCGTCTCTGCTGAGTCTCAAGGCCTGCCTGCTACAAATTTACCATTCTTTCATGAAACATAATAGACATTCAGTTAACATTTGTGAGAATGATAAAAATCATTGAGTTTTTTAATCTCTGTTTCTGTTACCTTTTTTTTTTTTTTGAGACTTTTTGGTTGATTTTCTTTTGGTGTAGGGCCTTTGACATGGTAGATAAGCTCTCTACAACTGAGCTATACCCCTTAAGTCCTTAACTGTTAATATTCTTAATGGGTTACATAAGATCTTTAAATGGGAAAGTCAGGTAGTTTATAATAGTAGCAGCCATTTTTTTTGTTACTGTTTTGTCGGTCCTGGGGCTTGAACTGGGGGCCTGGGTGCTACCTGAGCTTTGATGCTTTACCACTTTGAGCCACGGCTCCATTTCTGGTTTTTCTGGTAGTTAATTGGAGACAAGAATCTCATGGCCTTTACTGCCCCAGCTGGCTTTGAACCATGATCCTCAGGTCTCAGCCTTCTGAGTCACCAGCACCCAGCCAACTATTTGTTTGTAATGTGAAAATCCATAAACTTTCAGAAATTGGGGGAAATGACACTACACCTATGTTCAGCAGTTATTACCATTTGCCATTTGTATTATCTGTGTTCTTAAGTATTTGAATAGTCACAGTTATTCAGGGAGTTTTATAGCATTGTATGTACATACAGTACTCTCTCTCTCTCAGATTCAGTCAAGGCTTACACAATCATGTTATCTCCGGTATATTCTAATGTACAAGACTATATGCTTTTTTCCTTTATAAACCATTGCCTTTTCCAGAGCGCATGTTAGTGGGCTAATGTTTCATATTCTACTTTGTAGTAGTTTTTTGTCCCTCCCTCTGCCCCTGTATTTGTGATAAGCTTGAATTTAGAATAGCATAGTCATTCACCCCAAATCACACTGAATATTTTTTGAAAGGATATTTCATAAGTCAATGCTATATTTTTTGTATTATATTACATATCACTTAAGGTCAGATTGTCCAAATAACTGCTTAATTAAAGTAGTGCCCAGGAGAGGATTTTAGGGTCTACTAAGGCACTTGCAGGCTTATACAGGGATACATGCCTAGAAGTACAATAAGACAGCACTGGTTGTTTTTCTGTACTGTGAGGTCTCATAGCAATCTGCTCAGTGAGATAGCTCAGATATAAGGAGACCAGTAGTCCCTGTTGCCTGAGATTCCCATGTCCCAAATAGGAACAGATATCATTCTAGTGGCTCCTCCACATAGCTTTCAGAGCTCTTTATGCCACACTTCATACCACTGACAAGAGTCACTGCTTCAAGGGAAAACCAAAGTTATGAGTGTTTAAAGACTTCAGTCAGAAGCCACATCACCATAAGTAGTTTCCTGATCATACAGCCAGAAAGTTAGCTGAAGATCAAATTTTTCTTGGAGAGCTACCTCACCAGTGGCTCACTCCTGTAATCCTAGCTACTCAGGAGGCTGAAATCTGAGGATTGTGGTTCAAAGCCAGCCTGAGCAGGAAGTCTGTGACACTTTTATCTCCAAGTAAGCACCCAAAAGCCAGAAGTGGAGCTATCTGTGGTTTGAGTGGTAGAGCCCTAACTTTGAGCAGAAAAATTTAGGGACAGTGTCCAGGTCTTGAGTTCAAGCCCTAGGACTGGTGCACACACACACAGAGATAAAAATGGTCTTGGAGAACTTATACTTCCAGGTGGTTACTATCAAGTTATTTTTGTAAAGGTGAATTCTAAGATCCAGTATTTTCTTCATCTTCTTTTCTGTCATGTCTATGAGGTAATTTTCCAGAATGGAACAAGATGCCTAGTATAAGTTTTTGAGTAATCTCATCTTAATTCACTATGAAAGTATTAAGCCATTGTTTTCTGTTGTGTTTGTGTGTAGCATAGTGACTTGTTGGTTATTTTAATTGGTTTGGTTTTGAGATAGGGTCTCAATGTGTAGCCCAGACTGGCCTTGAACTTGTAGTCCTCTTCCCTCAGCCTCCTGAGTGCTAAAATTAAAAAAGGCATTGGCCAGCATGCCTTTCAGACTTTTCTTCTTGATACTATTCAGCCATGCCATCTAAAAGTACTGTATTAATTATTCACACTCCAGCCTTCTTTTGGTACTATGATTTTTCTTCCTTTAGTTTTGACACATAAGATTATTCCTAGATATAATGTGAACAGATTGTTGTCCTATGATTTTTAACCCTCTAATATTGATTTGTTATGTTAGGTATGAAGAAAAAATCAATGAAATCTTCAAAAGATGGCCCATCTCCTGAGGAAGAAGCTGAATTAGAAAAGCAAAAGGTAGAAGAACATGGTCATTGTTACATACATAATAGATAATCAGTACATAATAGATAATGCAGTTAAATGAAATTGTGCACAAGAATTTTTATTGTCTTCAATTTCAAGAATAACCCATATCAGCAATGAGATTAATAATACATAACTAAATATCTTAGTAACATAGTGTTTAATATTACCATTTTATCAAGCATTATGGCAAAAAGCAAACGAAAATCTGGTTATTAAAATACACATCTGGAAAGTATAATTTGCATCACAAAATAAATCTAGTGTCATTTGCTGGGTTGAATGTTATTACTGTAAAAGAGCAAGGTAAAAAAAAATTATATTGAACAGAGTTGGGAACTCTTATTCCTGTAGTCTATTAATTGGCTACAATAAGTGAATTGAAGTCTGGTTTTTAAGTAAAAGCTGTCATCTCTCTCATACCCCTGATTCTAATACATCACTTTCTGTGAGTGAACCTGGCTAGCTACTTGTACTTGCAGCTTAATGCCTCTTTCTATTCACTATTCATCATATATAAATAATACTTTTAAAGTAACAGTGGGGAAAAACTCAGTTATACATCCCAACTTTTTTCCCTCTCTGCAGGCTGAAATGGCTTTACTTGTGATGGATGAGGAAGAAGATGGTAAGAAACACTTCAATTACAGCAAGATTGTGGAGCACCAGAATCTGAGCAAAAAGAAGAAAAAACAGCTTATGAAAAAGAAAGAATTAATAGAGGATGACTTTGAGGTAACCAAGAATATAAGTCATTAGCCTCTAAAGAAAGTTGAGGTGCTGCTTGGTGCTGGTGCACTTGCCTAGCCTGTGCAAGATCTGGGTTCAGTCCCCAGCACCATTATACAGTTTCACATTTGCTTCAGTTATACTGAAGTTTTTTGATTTATTGATTTCTTTATGGGAAAAAAAGCAAAATATCTTTATCTGAGTCACTCTTGGTCGCTACTTATTTTTTGCACCAAGGTTAAAGTTTCTTGAAATGTACTAAGAATGCAGTAACTTTACATAAAACTGCAGCAGGAGTATGTTTCCATTGCTTATTTATATATTCCAGGAATTAATTTTGTACTATAAGCAAGGGAAACCTTCCCTTAGGAATCACCCCTACCAGTTCAAAGTAGTCGTTGTCATTGTAGGCTGTAACATACACACACACATACATACATAAGTACATACATAACACATGTGCTCACACTACTCTAGATCCCTTTCAAATAAGTGGTTGCCATTTGATGACAGCAGCACACACTGCATATCATACAATGTGGAATTCCAGGGGTAGGACTTAAAATAATAATGGAAGAATAATGGAGAATAATGGAAGGGGTGGCTCGCTCAAAATGCATTGTACTCACAATCTGACTTTAACTGAAATGCCTGTATACAACTACTTAACTTTTTTAGTGTGGAAAAAACATTTCTAATACATGAGGACAAACTGCTGATTTTCTATCTTATGACCAACACCTCACCACCTTTATTTACTCCTTTTAAATTTTCAGGTAAATGTTAGTGATGCACGGTTTCAAGCAATGTACACTTCCCACTTGTTCAATGTGGATCCCTCAGATCCTAACTTCAAGAAAACAAAAGCAATGGAAAAGATCCTGGAGGAGAAAGCTCGCCAAAGAGAACTAAAAGAACAAAAACTTACTCAGACAATAAAGAAAAAGGAGAGTGAGATTGAAAATGCACCACAGAAGAAGTCCATTGATCCTGCCTTGTCAATCCTGATCAAATCTGTAAAAAACAAAACAGAACAATTTCAAGCAAGAAAAAAACAGAGAGTCAAATAACCTGATATTGTTTCTTTGGACTGAGAATGGATTCTCCTAAATTGTGCAGAAAAAGCAGAGGGACTATCAGGACTGTGAACAAGTTACAAAGTTTGTTCCCATACCAGCCTGTTGTACCTAATTAGGGATACACTGACTTTAATACACATTTTCACAGATTAATCACAAGTTTCCAGGATTATAAGGTATATAGGATTTATATAATTTAGAAGTTAATTTTTTGCTAGTAGAAAATTACTCTAAATTATCTAGACTGGTTTTTGTTGTTGTATTAGCAGTGAGGCTTGAACTCAAGGCTTGAGCTTTTTCACTCAAGACTGGTGCTCTAGCACTTGATCCACAGCAGTTTTACTTCCAAATTTTGGGTGGTTAATTGGAGAAGAGTCTTACAGACCTTACTGCCCTGGCTGGCTTCAAACCATGATCCTTAGATTAAGAAGACTGGTTTTTACAACCTATGTAAAATTAGAGCAACACCTATTCTTAATTCTGTAGAAAATATGTCATGTAATACATTAACTTCTCCAGAAATAATGTAGATTTATAAAGCTACCAAGATAATTTATTTTTCTATCTATAAAGCTCAGAAGCTAAAAACTTTTTCTTGCCATGTTTTATCTTTAGTAGTTTTGTTTATGGATTTAATTTATGAAATTTATAAAACCACAAAGTGCTATTTGGCATAGAACTACTTTGTTTCATTTTATGAACTTGGAGTAAACTAGTCTCTGGAAAAATACCTGAAATGTGATACTGAGGATGACTCCACTCCATAAAAAGCAGCTCCAAGTTTGTATGGCTTACAGTGCTTGAAATGTTCATGAGCTCTGCAGTGGTCTTGCTGTTTGTAGCAGCAGAACAATTCTGTCTTTCAGATTTTTTTTTTTTGTGAAAATACTGTACAGAGGGCAAAATACTGTACATGGGCAAGATAATGAGTACATTTCTTATCAAGCATTGTAGCCTCCTCCTTTGTTTCCCCTTTCCATCCCTTCCCATCCTCCCCTGGCTCTTTCCTCAATCCCTCCCACCCCCACCAAAGTTGTAAAGTGTGTTTTTCCACATAACGACTTGTACATCTCATTGTTACAATGGATCCACCTGTATCCCTATTTAAACCATTTGTTTTTTCCCTTCCCCTGTCCTTCAGATTTTTAGAATGCTCTAAAAGGGTATCAACCCTCAAGAAAATGTTAATTCTTTTTAAAAATTAAAATATACCTTCCAGGCCTTAACACCCTTGGATCTCATCTGGTCTAGACTTTATGAACTATTAATTGACCACTTGGTCAGGAAAATTAGATGTGCTATACACAAGTAAACATAAAACCCAAAAAGATTGGTACAAGCTACAAATACAGTCCCTTCTGAAAGGCAGTACATGTTTCTAGGTTTATAGTTACTAGTAAAGTTGACACTGATAATAAAAATTCAGTCTTAGCCAGGCACCTGTGGCTCACGCCTGTAATCCTAGCTACTGAAGAGGCTGAGATCTGAGGATCACGGTTCAAAGCCAGCCCAGGCAGGAAAGTCCGTGAAACTCTTATCTCCAATAAACCACCAGAAAACCGGAAGTAGCACTGTGGCTCAAGCAGTAGAGCACTCACCTTGAGCTGAAGAGTGCAGGGACAGCACCCAAGCCCAGAGTTCAAGCCCCACGACCGACAAAATAAATAAATAAATAAAAATTCGGTCTTACCAATGTAGCATATTTTTAAGAGATGTAAAACTAGGAATAATAAGGAAGTATAAACAGTTTCTAAATGGAGAAGCATAAAAAATACATTTAAATGTCTTGTTATACTAGGTAGAAAAATGTAGAGTAACCAACAGAATCATATCTTTAGAAAGAACTGGTATTGCTAAGTTATCACTGCTACTGGTGTGCACATATATACACACAAACTCTGTACATCGGGGATTAGGCCATAGTACAAATCATTGAAGAGATCAGAGCAGGAGAGCGTTTGTGTACATGGTTCTCAGGGAACTGTGTATAGATGAAATAGTGGCTGTTCTTTAGTATTTTTTGTCTCCATCTTCCATATTTAATAGAACCATTTACTTGAGTATCAAGTTTTTCATAAAAATTTACTCATTCTGTTTTGGAGCTTGTAGAAATCTTTGTCAGCACTCTAGTAAAGTGTATCTAAATGCAGTAACTAGAGCTTGAGCAGCCATCTTGGATCTTTAAAACAAAAGTATTTTAGTACCAGGGATAAAGTAAGGAGTAGTAAATTGGAAGGAGTTGGATCACTGAGGGATTTGTAGAGCTTAACCACCATTTCAGCCATGGGCTGTCTTTTTTCAAAACTTGTGGGTTAGAAAGGTTAAATTCTGTCCTGTTTAAGCCCCTATCAACTTACTGTCCTATCTACGTCTCTTAATACAATAACAAAATAACAGCGGTGCCTGGCTATAATCTACCCTGTCCTATTTTGTGCCTCTTTTCTGATAATTTCTTCTTACACACTCATCCTGAGCTCCTGGGCACTGTTCCTTAGCTTTTTTGCTCAAGACTTTACCACTTGAGCTACATCTCCACTTCTAGATTTTTGGTGTTTAATTGGAGATAAGATCATCAGATCTCAGCCTCCTTAGTAGTTAGGATCACAGGTATGAGCCACCAGGGATTGGCTTCTCATTCTTAAAGGAAGTTTCTTCTCTTACTTTGTGGTCAGACTCTTTGCAACTTGAAATAATTAGAATAGTATGCTCAATATTGTAAGATTCGCAGATTTTTGGATGTGGACCTGAGTCAAGAGAAATGAGACCAGCTCCCTTCAAAAGCAGCTGGGACACTTTGTTCTACAAGCACTACTGGCATTAGAGTCATTAACTATTTTCAGCATTTCTGGGTTCACATTATCACCTTCCTCTAAAAGTTTATAAAGGAGCAGTTGCCAAAAGCAAGCAAGAATCAGGCACATGAGAAAATGTAAAAGTGGGAGTCTGTGCCCAACCTTAACTGCAGGTTCTACATTACCCAAGTTTTGCCAAAATGAGGAGGTAAAATCTTCACTGTTCCACTGTAAGTCAGGGCCAAAACAAATAGACTGACCGATTCTGTTGTGTCAGGAAAAATTGGGAGAGATGCCTGCATGGGCCTTACAAGTTGTTTCTGTCAACTTTTAAAAATTACAGTCATTTGAACAAGTATTGGTCGGGATGAGGGGGAGGGGGAACTAACCCTATTGCACTGTTAATGGGAATGTAAACTAATACAACCATTTTGGACAGCAGTCCAGAGGATCCTCAGGAAAACTGAACATGGGATCTTCCCTACAATCCAGCCATACTACTCCAGGGCAGATGCCCAGACATCACAAGCTAGGGTATCATAAAGACACTTGCACATCCATGTTCATTGCTACACTAACCACAATAGCCAAGTTAGGGAAACAGTTTAGATGCCCTACACTAGATGAGTGGGTCCCAAAAATTGTGCAATCTATACACAATGGAATTTTACACAGCCATTAGAAAGAATAATATGTTGTTTGCAGGGGAATGGATGGACCTAGAACAAATGGGAGCTCAGAGAAACAAACAGTGCATGTTTTCTCACATGTGGAATCTATATCTAAAATTCCTGGAGGCATGATAAATTATATAGGACTCTAGGCACTCACATACAGACGAAGGGGAGGAGCACAAAGGCACAATGACTGCATCTGACTATACAAAATAATATTTATCAAAATGAACTTCAGGAAATGGAAACAAGGGGGTTTTCTTATGTTTGTTTTCTTTTTGTCTTGTTCATTTGTTTATCTGTCTTTGGGATGTCTTTGTTCCTCCAGGAATGGAGGAACAAAGGGTAAACAAATGCAATAGTGGTGTCACTAGACACTTGAACTATACAACTTGTGGGTGGGGACAGGAGGGAAAAAGTGGGAGAGAGTGAGGGAAGGGGTGACACTGTCCAAAAGGAAATATACTCATTACCTGACTTACATAACTAACCCCTCTGTACATTAAACATACCAGAAAAAAAAATAAAATCCATCTTAATTATCAATATATTTTATCTTGGAGCAAAAAGTTAATGTAACTTTGAAGTATGCTTCAAGAAGTTTTTATAATGAGCAAAGGCTAAAGTGATCAGTAAAAGTCCATATTATCAGACTATACTAACAATTAGAAAGACATTTTAGTTACAATTGGAAAAACTAAAAGATGGTGTAGGTTGGTTTTTCTTCCTCCTTTCTTCTCCTGGAGATGGAGTCTTGCTTTTGTTTTAAGGAACCAAAATGGCTGCTAGAGCTGTAGCTACTACATTTGAGTTCCAGGCAATAGAGGAAGAAGGGAAGACAATAGAAGACAAATTTTAGTAGTGTATTGACTTCAAAGATTCTTAGAAATTGTCATTTGCTTCCACATAAAGTTGCAAAGGAAAATTAATAACATATCTCCCACCTCTCTTCTTTCTTCCTTTTTTTCTTTTTTCTTAGTGTCAACAACTGAAAATGCCCTTTTGTGTATATGTGTAAAGCAAGAAAAGCATTGGTGATTAGCAAAACGAATAGTAAAGATAGAAATGTCATCCTGCTCTTCAGTAAACCTCACCAAACCTGCATTTAATCATCAGTACTAACTCAGGACAGCAGTATGACCAGAGATACTCAAGAAAACGGGTAAATCCAGAAAAAACAAAATGAACAAACAGCAGAGCTGAGGCACTGAGGCAGATAGATCAGTGATCTACACAGTGAGCCAAGACCTGTGGCAGCCCTGTGCTGTTGTTCTAAATCAATATCATTAGGAATCAGTATGAAAAGTGTAAGTCAGACATGAAGAGGTAGAAGGCTACAGTTGTGCTGTAGTTTGCATGTGACTTGTTCCCCAAATGTTGGAAGCTTGGTCTGTGTGGCAGTATGGAGAAGTGACAGACTTTATGAGCAGGGACCCAGTGGGAGAGAATAATGCAGGTATGTGTCACCATGTTCTTGTCTTTTCATGTAATTTTTCTGTATGCACTCTTGTGCTGACTCTTCCATGAGAACTTCATCTGAGACTAACATAGTGGGCTTCCCAAGCTTGGACTGTGGGCCTCTGAGACTGTGAACTAAATAAAACTTTGTCGTAAGATAAAATACCCAGCTGGATGCCAGTGGTTCATGCTTGCAATTGTAGCTACTCAGGAAGCTCAGTGCCTAAGA